CTTGGAGGAGCGGGGATACCGAGGGGCTGCAGGTGGTGGAGGGGATGGTGCGGAGGTCTCCGACTGACAGAGGAGCTGCCACGGGAAGCTGGTGCAGCTGCGAGGAGCTGCTGAGGAGGTGGGAGTCTGTGGCACTGGAGCAGGTCCAAGGGTGGCAGTGAGGGTGGCAGGTGGCTGTGGGACGGCTGCTGACCTGTGTGTGCTGACGTCATAGAGCTCTTGTCTTTTGATTCAGCCTGGAGGGGACAGGAGGTCACTTCCCTTCCTCAAAGGATAGGACCTTTATTTTGGAAAAGTCCAGTGGGGTGGCAGGATGTATCTTATACAGTCGCTACCATCGTGAGGACAGTGCCTCTGGCACTATTATCCCGGTGACTGCCTTCTTCTGGTCACACCTAGCGATGGCATGTGGCCTCCCTGCCAGCGCCTATTTCCTCTCTTTCCCTCACTCAGCTTAGCCCCTGTCTTTCTTGTGTGTTCTGAATTAGTTTCGCTTACTCAGCTAGAGATAGAGGCGGCTCTTTGAGGTTAGGGAACCAGCCTTCCATGACTTTATTTCAGTGCCCAAACCATGTCCTGCAGTCGGAGCACACAGCAGGAGTGGTTTGCTGGTTGAAGAACAGCTTAGGAAGTGGTTTTCTATGACCTGAACCTGGAGCAGACACAGGAGTGAGGTCCCCTTCATGGCAGGACAGCTGCTCATCCCACTGGTAGTTTCCTGCTGGTTTCAAACTGAGCTCCCTCTTGCCTTCCGCTGACCAGTTCATCCAATCTGTCAGGATCCTAAGGAGTGTTTTGGAGCGTGGTCCTTGTGAGAACTGTCCCCTCAGCAGAGGTGAGAAGTCTAGTTGGAATTCAGTGACACCCTGAACCCTGGGAGTACACCAGACTTATCTTTTTCTTGTATGTGGTAGGCACCGAAAGTTTGTTCAATAAATACAAAGTAATAAAAATAAAATATAGAGAAAACCCCTTTTATTTAAGTAAAATAATTAATTTCAAGTAGTTCCACGTTCATTATGCGTCTCTGCGTTGAACAGTTTTGCCTTTAGAACTCAGGGAGAAGAACAAAGGTACTTTGGCCTCTACCAATATGGAGGAGCCAGCACCTCTTTCCTGCAATGGAGCTCTAGTTCCCTCTAGTGGCAGATCCTGGGACTGCAATGGACTCTTCTGAGGCTCCAGCAAGGAGGTTAGATTGGAGCAGAATGGATTGTTCAACTGGGAGGGTCCAGCTGGAGTACTGTGATAAATTTGAAAAAGCATCTCCTTCTCCAAAAAAATAAAGATTTGCTTGAATTTTGACATATAAGCATATTTTGGGCTATGTGGATGACCACTTTCTGATCCCGACTGCCTCAGAGTTCTGTTTTGACCTTTGTGTTTGCATTTATAGTCACACTGGTGCCCCTTCAGTCACCATGAGAGGCTCACAGCAACCTGGGTTTCCTGTGCCAATGGAAGCTTAGCAGCTTAGAAATGCATGTAGCACAGCACAGCACACGTGGGCCCAGAGCAGAGCCCTGTGCTGTCTTCACCCTCGGCCATGAGGGGCAACGTGGTTTCAGACATCTGCCCTTCTCTCTTATGTTAGTTTTGCCAACTGAGTTCTAGTGAATTCAAAGTTATTATTTTAAATATGTGTTTTGCAATGCAGCGGACCCCTTATCCACAAGAGAGAAGTTCCAAGACCTCAAGTGTATGCCTGAAGTCACAGACAGTACCAAACACTATATATATATATATATATATATATATATATATATATAATATATGATTTATATACACATATATTATATATGATATATATCACAAATTATATATCATGTATAATCATATATGATTTTTTTCCTATTCATACACACCTATGATAAAGTTTAATGTACAAATTAGGCACATTAAGAGATCAACCACCACACTGATAAAATAGAACACTTGCAAGAAAATGCTGTCATAAAAGCTACATGAAATGTGGTCGTCCTGTCAAAGCATGCTAACTCCTCCTGGCACTGTAGGACGACGTTCAGTGCAATTGGCTGTGGGTGTCTGAAACCATGCAAGGCGAGTCTGCAGATCAGGTGGCATTGTACTTTACCTGAGGGGCTTAAGCCTAAATGGTTTATACCTTATATTTAGAAATTTTTAAATGTGTTATTACAATAAAAAATGAAGTAATTCAAGGGTTCAGTCTTTAAGTTTTCTCTTGAAAAGTAATTCAAATGTTAATTGTGTTTGAGCAACAAATAATACAACCCAGGCCTGGAGGAGGGTGTCACTTTCCCAACTGGGTTGGACTCTTGGATGTTATATGTCTCCAGCCTCAGCCCCCAAACATAGGCCTGTGGTCCTTCCAAATTCCAGGCTAATTAGCTATAAATCTGCTGAGTGTCCTTAGAAATGGTGTCTCCAGGACCTATGGAGAGAGGTAAGTCCTATATCCACAACGGAAGGAAACAAAGGTTACCCTCTGCTCACACATTGGCATGCCATGATCCCAGTGCTCTGTGGGCAGCTGGGCCAGCTGGGCCAGCTGGGCCAGCTGGGTGGTCTGGGGTGGTCCAGCATGGCGCTGTCAGTCAGTCTTATCCAGTAGTTGCTTGATGTCAGTGGGAGCATGGCCCCGCATCTAGCCTGGGTGCCATCACAGCGCTGGCCCAGGCTTCCCCACCTACCACCTTTGCTGGTGTCCTGCTAACCCAGATGCACATGGCCAAGGCCAGCTTTGAGCAGAGTTGGGGGTTGGGCAGAGGTAGGAGACTGACTACCTGTTGGCAGGAGTTACCACCAAGTCACAGTGAAAAATAGGTAGAGGGAAAATTGACTGAAAACCTTGGGAATCCGCCCCGTGTTTAAAGAGCGATGATCAACACTCACCCCACCTCACAGGGTTCACAACCTGGCTGGGGTCAGGTGGAGGCAGGGGTGGGTATGTTTTCAGTCCATAGGACCCAGTGACAGGTGGCCTGAAGACCCAGAGTGGCCCTCAGCAGCCCCTGTTAGGTGGCCAGGAAGATGCAGAAGTGGGCTGCACAGAGAAGTTTCTCCCCTGATGGAGGGGCCCAGAGCACCTGGGGTCTGTGGCAGGTGGGGGAAAGGAGGCAGGTGAGGCCCCAAGGTACAGCCATTGAGGCCTCATTCCTGAAAGGGTGCTTGGAGATTTTATTACTTTTAATTCAGGCCCACATTCCTGCTCAGGTAACTTGAACTTTCACTCACGACAGTCCTAGCGAGTTTACCGGAAAGTTCTCTCTCTGTCTCTCTCTGGCATTTATTAGTGGCATTTATTAGTGCAGCTGCCACAGTAGAATGGAAACTATGTGGATGAATTTATATCCCTGCTCTAAGGATGATTTATTTAATCCTCTTTCATTTTCAGACGCATGTTGATATTTCTGTGGGAGTTCCCTGTATTATCCCAATTATACAGTCAAAGGGAAAACACATTTATAGATTTGTAGCTGAGGGGGTTGCAACTTCAGCTTTTCTGATTAAACTCGGCACAAGGATTCTGGCAGCATTATAAGCTGGAATTGCTGGGGATCTATTTATTACGGCCTGCAGCCACTGCAGCAGAAATGGAATTTTGTTTGAGACTGTGAAGGAAAATAAAAAAAAGTCCTGAGGGTTTATGGAAGCACAATTGGTGGATATCTCTGTGAGAGGTGTCAAATACAAACCGTGCTCCAGGTGACCAGGAGGCGGCTGTGAGGCTCCTGCCTCCCTCCCTCCCCTCCCTCTCCACCCCTTTCTCACTGGCCTCCACAGCCCTCTCCTCTCCTGCTCCCTCTCTCCGTCCTTTCTTGCTTTGCCCTAAGAGCAAGTAGCCATTTGTGCACCTAAGTCTTTTCCACAAACGGAGACGGGCCTTGGGATGCTGTGGGGACAGGAAAAATTACCAGTCACTTTTTTCACAGGGGCAGGTGAAAGTGTTCCTCAGGAGATGAAGGAAATGTAAGAAGATGGATCAGAAACTAGAGTGTGCTTTTTTTTTTTAACATAGTATTTTCCATCTTTCTCTTGGGGAGTCCCTAGCCTGTATCCCAGGGTTTGGCATTGAGTGACCTGGGAGGAAGTCAGCTGGGGCAGGGTCCTATTCTGAAAGCTTCTGAGAGACAGAGAGAGAGAGAGGGAGGGAGGGAGGGGGCGGGCAGGTGAGGGAGGGCCCAGGTGCTGGAAGGATGGTGTTCCTGCTGGTGGGTGGAACCAGAATGTGCTGTCTGGGAGGCTGGGGAGGGGATTTGCAAAGCGCCTACTCAACTAAGTGCACAGACCAGCTGCTGGGAGGTCACCCTCACAGTGTTGTTATGACCCTGAGGGTTGGAAACACCTTGTATTTTCTGTAAGAAAGCAGTCATTAAAGTTACAGCTTTTTCTTTCAATGGAATACTAAGTGGACATTGAAATAATATCATAGAATTCTACTTATTGATATTAAAATATTCCTAATGACTTCTAAATTTAAAAAAGTTGCAAAATCATATAAAACAGCACATCTACTGTGATCTTGAAAAAAAATGTATAACTATCTATACATAGAAAAATCTGGAGTGATTATATATTGGAATATTAACTGAGATGTTTTCACTGTAGTGTTTGAGGGCTGTTTTTACATTCCTCATTATGCATTTTTTTTCTGTATCGCCTGACCTTTAAAAAATTAGAATTTTTGGAGGCGCTTTAGGCTCATAGCAAAATTGGGGTGAAAGCACAGAAAGTTCAAACACAGCCCTGCCCTAGTAGCACAGGCTGCCCGTGTCCCACAGCAGAGCAGGACATTTGAACCTACACAGAGGCTATGCCAAAGTCTACAGTCCACTTCAGGGTTCTTGCTTCGTGCTGTGCATTCTACGGGTTTTGACAAATGCTAATGATGCAGATCCTTCACTGTATTGTTGTACAAAGGATTCAATCACCCTAAAAATCCTGGGTGCTCTGGGATTTTTCCCATCAATCTCCTGGCAATTACTGGTCTTTTTACTCTTTTCATCTGTGCTTGTCAGGCTTCTGTTGCTGAGACCAAAACACCTGACAAGACCAACTTAGAGGGAGAAACGTTCATCCTGGCTCATGGGTTCAGAAGTCTCCGTCCACAGATGGCCCCACTCCAAGGTGAGGCGATGCATCCTGGTGGAAGGGGAGAGCAGAGCGGAGCTGCTCAGCTCCCAATCTGTCAGGAAGCAGACAGGGAGGGAGAGGGGAAGGGGAAGGGGAAGGCACACCCTTCCAGGGCACTCCCCAAGTGACCCCCCTCCTCCAGCCCCACCACACTTGCCCCCAGTTGCCACCCAGACAGTCCAGGATGGACTCAACAGGTTAGAGCTCCCACATTCTGGTCATTTCACCTCTGACTGTTGCTGCATTCACACAAGGGGCACCTCACCTCAAACCACACACCACAGTTTTACCCTTTCTATGGCGCCGTAGAGTTAGAATCCCACACGGTGTGTCTTTTCCAGCTAGCTTCTTTCGCTCAGTGATATGCATTTAAAGTTCTTCATACTTTTTCGTGGCTTGATAGCTCCTTTAGCTATTCCATTTTCTGGAAGTACCACAGCTTATGTATCCACCCACCTGCTCTAGAACATCTTGGTTGCTTCCAGGCTTTGGCAATGAAGAATAAAGCTGGTATAAACATCTGCCTGCAACCTCAGAGTCGGCACATACCAGGACGCAGAGGAGAGAACTGATTTCAGCTGAAGTTCAATTTACAGGTATTTGGGGGTTCACTATGGATTTTGTGTTTATTCATGAATCTGTGTTCTCTGTATCAAGCAAAAAATAATCTCATACAAATTGAGGATTTTTTCACAATATTTTGAATATTTTTAAAGGAACACTTACGTTAGAAAATTTGGACACGTTGGAAAGGAGACCCTGAGTTTTCTTTGAAGCAATCTTTCCTGTTTTAGAGCAATGGTTCTTGAGGTTGGTAAGTGCAGCACTCCCCCATGGATAGCTAGCTACCTTACCTGGGAGCCTGTTAGGATCCTGGTTCTCAGCCCCACACTGACCCACTGAATCGGAAACATGGCCTGTGGTCCAGGAATCTGCATTGCTACAAGGTGGTTCTCATGCACACTAAAGATTGGTGACTAGATTTGGAAAACCAATCAGAAGAGTCTGAAAGGTGATTGAAGGTTTAAGAGTTAGAAAGGGAAAGTACACAGGAAAAAGGTCTGAGGTGGCCAGGGCCTTCTTTGAGGTGACAACTCCGACAGGTGCCACCCCCTGCTGCCCAAAAACCTCAGGGAAGGATTCCTCCTGGCCAAGGTCACCAACTAAAAGTGATGTCTATATTGGCTCAAGTGGAGAGACACTCTCCACCCTGGGTCGGGGGAGCGAGTCTGTCCACAGGAGCTCAAAGCAGGAGAATGCTCCATCCTGGATCAGGTGAGTGACTCCTGTACTCAGTCTCAAGACCAGTGAGGCCCTGTCAACATGCAGAGGGAGGCACAGAAGTCCAGGCCTGGGAGAGGACGGTTGGTGGGCCCCTGCGCTCAACCTGAGGCTCACGTTTCTTTACATCATCATACATTTTAAACTTAGGAACAAAACAGTGATGATCCAATTTGTCGGAAACCAATTTATTAAGAAACATCTGAGAAGAATTGTGGGAAAGGAGAGAGGGGCAGGGCGAAATGTCCCAGGCAGAACAGCCTCTGAGGTCTTCCGCAGGTGGGGGCAGAGGAGAGACGGCTGTCCGCTGGCGCTGTCTGTCTGTCTGGCTCTCCACTTCCTTGGAGGCAGGCCGTCTATGGGTGTGGCACGTCGCTTCTCTGTGACATTGGAGCCACTTTATTGCTGACACGTGGCACGCAGCAGCAGCACAGGGCTCGGACACAGGCAGCGATCCTGCTCCTCACCTGTTTCCAGCCATTGGTGTGGCCAGGGCCTTGCCTCGGGGCTGTGTCCAGGGAGGAGGAGCTGCTGTGTGCCCTGGACCACCAGACGAGGACCCTGGAGGGCTCGGGCCTGGGGAAACCAGAGTCAGACTGGGAGCAGCTGCGGAGAGTGGGGGCCCCTGCAGGCGGGCAGCGCAGAGGAATGGCAGGCAGGCTGCCACCCCTGATGTCCCTGTGCCCTGGCTGTTGGGCGTCCTCGGGCAGCGGATACTCAGAGGGCAAGGGGAAGGTGCGCAGGGCAGGCTGGCTGGCGCTCCTCTGTGGGAGGACAGGGACATTGGAGAGATTCTCGGGGCGCTGGCGAGGCCTAAGCCACTGAGGCACAGGCTGCCCCTGGAAGGCGCTCCCTACCCCCTGGCCTTGCTGGTGCTTCAGGATGAGGTACGTCGCCATGACCACATCGAACTTCCTCTTGGCCAGAGACACCCAGGTTTGGTAGGGATCAAAACTCAGGTCGAACAGCATGGTCAGGATGGCGGGGTCTGGGCGTGTGGGCAGGGCCTGGCTGGAAGGATGGGGTGCACACGGCTCACCCTGCCGCAGCCAGGGGTGCTGCAGGATCTGCTTCACTGTGGGTCGCTTCTTGGGGTTCAGGACCAGGATCTGGCGGATGAGCCTTCGTGCTTTGACCGGAACAGAGCTGGGCACCTGGAACCTGGCCAGAGTGATCCTCATCAGCAACTCCTGAGGGGTGTCCCCCCTGAATGGATAGCTCCCCGTCAACATACAGTGCAGGATGACGCCCAGGCTCCAGATGTCCGCTGGGGGGCCCTCATACTCTTGCTTCAGGACAATTTCTGGGGCGATGTAAGCCAGAGTACCCCATAAGTCATTAAGCTTCTGCCCGGCTGTGAACCTGGTGCTGAAGCCGAAGTCAATAAGTTTTGCATGTCCTCTGGCATCCAGCATGATGTTCTCTAGCTTCAAGTCCCTGTGCACGATGCCCTTGTCGTGGCAGTGGCCCAGGGCACACACGATCTGCCTGAAGATTCTGCAGGCCTCCTCCTGCTGCATGCCACCAGGGGGGATATGCTCAAGTAGCTGTCCCCCACCTGTGTACTCCATCACCATGTACAGGTTTTTCCTGGTCCTCATCACCTGAAAGAGTTGTACAATGTTGGGGTGCTCCAGGCTCCTCAACATTAGAGGTTCGGAGAGGTCCGAGATGTCCTGCGTCTCCGTCTTCAGGACTTTCACTGCGACATCTGCCCCTGTGAGGCGATGGCGGGCCAGGTAGACCTGACCAAACTCGCCATGCCCAATGGCCCTCAGGACCTCGTACTGGTCCAGGAAGTCTGGCTCCTGGCAGGAGCCCGGCCCCCACAACGCTACTGTAGACTGACTACTGTTGCTAACCATGGACACCCTGAGCAGGAGCACCCACTCAGGATGCTAACTGGAGAATAAAATAACAAACCAAAACAATAAATCAAAATCAAAAACCAAAACCAGACAAAACAAAAAACCCAAATCAAAAAAGCAATATTCACAGTCCACAACCACCGACCGCCAACCACCAAGCGCACTAAGGATCTGGTGTCCGACAGGTCACCACCAAGAGCTTCCTGTACTTGTGGACAAAACCCAGCCTCAGCCACCCCCTTATATACCGGCTGTTTGAGATTCCTCACAATGGCTCCTTGTAAGGTCAGAGCTAGAAATGGCCCAGTCATGGCTGGCCATAGCCCCAGTGGTCCTCTCCCTCTGGGGCCTCCAGAACTTTTTCCATTTTCAGAATAAGAATAGAAAAGGACTCCAGATGTTTTTTTTTGCTCCAGTGGGGTGTGGAGACTGATGTTTGCTTGTTTAGAAATCAACATTTGTACACTAGCTCAATGGACTTGTCATTTCAAGTCTCCAAATTTCTACTGACTTTGGGCTTTGGAAGACCTTGTCCTACCTGCACTCGAGGCATTCAGTTCCTTTCTCGGAATTACCGTCAAAAGTGCGGTAGCCCCTCATCCACCTTGTGATACCACAACTGAATGCTCTGTCCCCTGAGACACTCTAGCGCTCAGTCTTCACACCTATGGGGTTGGGAGGGAGGAAGGCGTCCTCATCATTTCCTCAGATGGTCCTCATAAGACCTCCTCTTAGAAGCCCTGGAATGCAAAAGACTTGATAGATTCAAAGTGATAAAAACGTGGAAGCCAAAAATCCTACAAAGGCTAAAGTGTCCTTCCCAAAGAGGGAAGAAATGGAGGCGTTCCTGAGGACTGGGATCCCTCATGCTGCTGGAGCAAAATACCTTAGACTGGGCAATTTATGAACAGGACTTAATTCTCCCGGTTCTGTAGACGGGCAAGTTCAAGAACAAAGCACTTTGTTGATGAATCCACACATGATGGGAGGGGCAGAGGATTTAACTGGATCCCTCAATCACTCTTCTTTATAAATTCTGGGCAATAATCTGGAGAAAAAATCCTGACAGATATAAATAAGTGATAAAGTGTCAAAACAAGGTGCCAAGCTAGGCACTGACTGTGTGCTGCTTGTCCTCAGGTAGGTGTGTGTCAGGATCTATGTCTCTATGTGCAATGAACAACCTGGAGAGAGAAGCAGATTGTGAAGCTGAGGGACAGTGCTGGGGGCACTTGCACAACATTTGCATCTTTAACCATGACTATGGCTACCAAAAACAAAAACAAAAAAAAACTGCTTTTAAAAATAATTGCTTCTGCTCTGGGAGCGTGACGTGGACTCCCACTTGCCAGGCCTCAGGAGCCAGAGAGTCCTTCCCTCCCTACCACCCTCCTTGCCCATCTGCCTATGCCCCAGCTCTGCTCTGGGTGGGGCCCAAGCTGTGCAGGTGCTTTCCCTCCACAGAGTCCCTTTCTCTCTCAGCTGGTTCTCTGCTTTCTGGTAACAGAGATGGCCCTGGTGTGGGTGGCTCAGGCTGGATGGAAGGAGTCTGGTTTTTCCTTTCCTCCTGGCACCGCTGGCCCTGGGAAGGCTTTTCAAGGCCTCCTTCCCAGTGCGAGTATCTCAGGCCTGCCCTCCTTGAATGATTTCATCTCTGTCTCACTGACCTCGCCTGATCTATCTTCCATCTCACAGAACCACAGCCTCCTCTGTGGCACCTTCCTGGCAGGTTCATTGTGTCCCTGTGATGTGTTTGAGGCAGCTGAAGTCCAGATTGCTGGTGGAAGTCATAAGTCCGGTGTTAGCTTCTCAAAACACTCCCTCTTCCTGCCTTTACCCCCAGGGATGTGCTGCTTGGACTCCAGGAGGGATGTCCCCCATCGGGCCACCCCTACCATACATCGATTGACATGACTGTGAAGACCACAGGACTCACTTGGCCATGTTCACTTTGGCAAAGTGGGAGCACTGAAGATTTTCTAATAGACAAACCAGGAGTAATACTGGACAATGTGGGACCTCCAGGTTTGTTTTCTCCACAGTGCAAAACCTTTGCTCTTCTGGGGAGCTAGGCCTGTACCTCGGTGGTACAGATTTTCCTGACATGTGTGAGGTCCTGGGTGAAATCACCAGGATGCCCCTCATAAAAAAAAATAAAAGAAAGGTGACTGAGGGATCCAGTTAAATCCTCTGCCCCTCCCATCATGTGTGGATTCATCAACAAAGTGCTTTGTTCTTGAACTTGCCCGTCTACAGAACCGGGAGAATTAAGTCCTGTTCATAAATTGCCCAGTCTAAGGTATTTTGCTCCCGCAGCATGAGGGATCCCAGTCCTCAGGAACGCCTCCATTTCTTCCCTCTTTGGGAAGGACACTTTAGCCTTTGTAGGATTTTTGGCTTCCACGTTTTTATCACTTTGAATCTATCAAGTCTTTTGCATTCCAGGGCTTCTAAGAGGAGGTCTTATGAGGACCATCTGAGGAAATGA